ATTTTATAATAGATAGTTTTTTTTAAAAATATAATTATCAAATACTAAAATGCTCTTTATGGTAGTATAATACAACATTTTTAATAGTTATAGTTATAAGGTAGCACTAAATAATGTTGTCAAATTAAGCCTCCATCTCCAATTAATCTTTAAGGAGATTACAAATCTTATAGTTAGTATTAAACAATGTAGTTTTGAAATTAAATTTTACCTCTACATATTTGTTGCTCATCCATTCCTGGTGAAGACAAGCAACGTTGTTAGCCTCAAGTTCGGTTGACGTGAATATTATATTTTGTTAAATAAGTAGTGTTCATTCATCCAAATCTACTATACCACTACTCCTATATATATACTAAAAAATTTTCATGATTTTGGATTCATGGGTTAATTAATAACTTGCATATAAAGATGGTAATCAATTAATAAAAATGATAAAATTTAATAAATGAGAAAAAAAAAAAAAAAAAACTTCGTCACATGTGTTTTGTGATATAATTATATATTATAACATTAGATATGACTGGGTTTTTGACAAATGCACGTTAAAGGTGATAATAGGCCTTACATCAAGGTGAGTCTTGAATATGGAGACTACTTGATGCTCTGAATTTCAGCTCTTTATGAATCCAGTTTTTAAGTTCAATGGTTCGATCTCAAGCCTTACGTGTTTGGGTAAGGTGATTGGAGTTTCAAACTTTACCATTGTCGTGAACTCTACCAAAAAGTAATCCAATGGTCACACGCTTCATTTGAGGGAGTGGACTGTTCACCCGATCTGGAATCAAATCATAGTTGCTAACAACTAATTTAATCTAACTTTTTAATCATTACCCTTAACAAAAAAAAAAAAAAAACTTTACAAACACGTGGGTCAACCATTATTTAAAAAAATTATAAATTAATAAAATATAAAAAAATTATATGACCATGACAAATTGGTACCTGCCCGTAACACAGCCGGTTTTGGGCCCCACAAATAGAAGTAAAGTAGATTACGAAAAAGGGTCCCACAGAAGAACGCAATACACGTGCACCTATCATAAAATCCGGTTCCTTTACTACTTCATGAGTGCTACGTCGTAGTGGGTACGGTCAACGATCCCCTTCCAATTCGGATACGGTCATCGATTACCTTCCAATTCGGGAGTCGGGTCGGGACCCTTTCCCAGCCGCAAGCAACTCTCACATTCCCGTTTCATTCCTTTACACTTTCCCCGCCGAGATAATCACCCCAACACCACACCGCCATGAATCCCCCCGCCACCGGTACCGCAACGGTGACGGACATCCTCAAAACCCCAAAGTTTGTCAAATTTACTGCCATTGCCCTCCTTTCCATCTCCCTTCTATTCCTTTTCACTCGTTTCTCCTCTTCCTCCTTCTCTTTCCCTTACCCTTCGCCGTTACTCTCATCTTCCTCTTCCCCGATCTCTCCCTCTCTCTCAGTCCCTCTGGAGATCTTGTCTCCTTCTCTGACACCGCCACTGCCATCACCTCCTCCTCCACCGCTTCCACCCGCGGTGCGATTGACCGGAATAATTGATGAAAATGGAGCTATGTCCGAGAGCTTCTTGATTGGGGATTTGGACTCAAACTCTACTAGCTTCACCGACGTGTTGGGCGAGGGGGAAGAGGAAGGGAGCGAAAAGGAGAAGAAGAGTGTTCCTGAAGTCAGGGTTAGGATTGCAAAATACGAGTCCTGTGATGTGAGCAAGATAGACTATGTACCCTGTTTGGACAATGACGAAGCCATTAAGGAGTTGATTAACAGCACCAGAGGGGAGAGGTTCGAGCGGCATTGTCCCACTGAAGGCAAAGCTTTGAATTGTTTGGTACCACGGCCGGCAGGGTACCGGACTCCGATTCAATGGCCACAGAGTCGAGACGAGGTAAGTACCTCAACTATTAAATGTTTCAATTTCAAATTTTCCTCCTTTGATCTCCAAACATTGCTTATATGACAGGTTTGGTTCAGCAACATTCCCCATACCCGACTTGTTGAAGATAAAGGTGGGCAGAACTGGATCTCAATAAAAAATGATAAGTTCATTTTTCCTGGAGGTGGCACACAATTCATTCATGGGGCAGATCAATACTTGGACCAAATTTCTAAGGTATTTGCTTTCAGAATATATATTTTGGTTGGTATCTGCATGCCTTGTGTTTTTATGATGCTAATAGTCATCTTGACCATGTAGATGGTTCCTGACATGGGTTTTGGGCTCCACACCCGTGTTGCTCTAGACATTGGTTGTGGAGTAGCAAGTTTTGGTGCCTTTCTGCTACAGCGCAATGTCACTACTATGTCAATAGCACCAAAGGATGTTCACGAGAACCAAATTCAGTTTGCACTCGAGCGTGGAGTACCTGCTATGGTTGCAGTGTTTTCCACACGCCGCTTGTTGTATCCAAGTCAGGCATTTGACTTAATACATTGCTCAAGATGTAGAATTAATTGGACTCGTGATGGTACTCCCTTTTCCTTTTATATATCATACAAAAACTTTTCATAATGAGGTCTTATTATCATAGTCAAGTTTGCATCTGTTTCTTGAAGTAATTTCATATATTTTCTTCTTCTTGTCTATATTCTCTGATTTTGATATTTTGTTTTTCTTTGTTGCTGGTTATAAAAGATGGAATTTTGCTTCTTGAGGCCAGCAGGATGCTAAGGGCTGGCGGATATTTTGCCTGGGCAGCACAGCCGGTGTATAAGCATGAAGAGAATCTACAAGAGCAATGGAAAGGTAGCCCATTTCGAGAATTTTCTTTTTACCTTTCAATTGCCTGGTTTCATTCCTATGTTGATTTTACATGCAGAAATGGAAGACCTTACTAAGCGCATTTGTTGGGAACTCGTAAGAAAGGAGGGGTATCTTGCCATATGGCAAAAGCCTTTAAACAATAGCTGCTATCTTAATCTTGATGCTGGAGCGCGACCTCCTCTGTGTGATTCCAATGATAATCCAGATAATGTTTGGTATGTCCTGCACTATCGAACATCTAAGTAAAAATGATGCTGGGAGGGAAAGACATTGGCTAATGAAATCTTGAACAAAAGGAACAATATTGATTTAAGGATTAGCTGGTATACTTACAAATATCCTATTAAAATAGATCACAAAGAATGTCAAAATTGACAACTTTTGCAGGGATGTTAGTTTGAGGGCATGCATTACTCCATTGCCCGAGAATGGTTATGGATCTAATGTTAGCACATGGCCTATGCGCCTTCATTATCCACCAGACAGGCTTCAGAGCATAGAAATGGATGCTTCCATCTCAAGAAAGGAACTATTCAGGGCAGAGTCTAAATACTGGTATGAAATAATTGATAGCTATGTACGTGCTTTTCGTTGGAAGGAGATGAAACTACGGAATGTGATGGACATGAGGGCTGGATTTGGAGGGTAACACATCTTCTGAAGCCTTCTCTGATTTTGATAGGCATTTAAAATATATTTTGATAGGCATTTAAAAAAAAAATATATATATATATATATATATATTAAGAAGAGGAATGGAAAACCAACAGATAATACTGTTGCAATTTGTAAATTTGGTCATTTTGCCTATGACAGGTTTGCAGCTGCATTGCATGATCTTCAGATTGATTGCTGGGTTATGAATGTGGTCCCTGTTAGTGGATTCAATACCTTGCCTGTTATCTATGACCGGGGACTCATTGGAGTTGTGCATGACTGGTAAGAAGTCCAATGTGCATTCAACTCTACTTTTCAAATATGATATAACATTTCCCAGTGGAACCTATGAGAATTCCAGCATACAATTTTCAATAAGTATCCTACATTTTTATTTCCAAGGGGTCTGGTTACCAAAAGAGGGGTGGAAGAGCTTTTGCCTATTCTGCTTCAGCTCCATCTGTTTGTAATCCAGTTGGAGCAGGCTCAAGATAATATAAGCTTCAAATGCAAATTTTCACCCATTTTGTGGTAAATTTACCAAATCTGAGCTGAGGGTCAAGTTGGCTCAAGATTATCTCTTGTGCTTGTTCCATTTCCCTTACTCTGGACCCAGGCATGGTTTACTTTGTAACTGACTGTAAGCCATGTAGACTCCAGAGCAGCTGAGACCAAGCAACCAAGAGCTCACTGGCCAGTGTGGCCATTCAGCTCATCTGCAGAGAATGCTTGAGTTTGTAAGTAAAAATGATATGAGACCCATAATATCAGAACCATTATTTAAGAGCTTGAGGCATTGAACATGTATCTCAATCTTCTTCTTTCCAGGTGCGAGCCATTTGATACCTACCCAAGAACCTATGACCTATTGCATGCAGCAGGTCTTTTCTCTGTTGAGCAGAAGAGGTAAAAATCATACTTGTTCCATTTATCAATCAAAACATTTTTGCTAAAGTTTGATTTGTTGGTCTCATGTATATATGTTGAGTGTAGATGTAATATGTCAACAATCATACTTGAGATGGACCGAATGCTAAGACCTGGTGGACGTGTATATATACGGGATTCAGTATCAGTAATGGGGGAACTCCAAGAACTAGCAGCTGCAGTGGGATGGGAGACTGCACTGCATGAGACTGGAGAAGGTCCCCATGCAAGCTTGAAAATTTTGATTTCTGAGAAACGTATGTGACGAGCCAGTTGGATACAAATCTCTTTCTTGCAATTATGTTGTTTCAACTTTCTAAGTTTTTTCCTCCGTGATTTCAAATTATATAATCTCTGTTGTTGCGCCTACATTGTTAGAACAGACTGTTACAACACTTACATAGCATCAAAGCAAAATGTTTATGTATTAAATTATAAAATAAAAAATTATAAAAAATAAAAATTAAAACATTTTGATAATCATAGAATGGTTAAGGATATTTATCAATAATTATATACGCTTAATAAATTTATTTTTTGTTAATCATTTAAAAATAATTTATCAATAATTATAATATTTACTATACATATGTAAAATAAATTATACAACATTTTTATGATTGATAATAATGAAGAGAATGGTTTTGTTTTTTAAGTTTGGTTTGTGTTGTGCCAGCCAAAGTTTTAAAGTCCGTGGGTAACTTTTATTCAAGCACGAGTCATTGCTACTATTTAAATACTGCAGATTTCAGACTGACAAAAACAAAAACAATTCATTTATTGTAATTACTCTTAATAGAAAACATGATATAATTGTAGGGTTTTTATGAGCTCTGCCCTTAAATATAATAAGTAAAGGGGGTAGTTATTATATTTTTTTAATATTAATTAATATTAAAAAATTATTTAATTTTTATTTTATTGATTATTTAATTAAAATAATTTATATGATATTAATGATAAAAGTAAAGATAATTTTTATATTTTTTAATAT